CTTCCTTAAATTCGTAACACAAAAGCAAATGCAACAAAAAACCAAGTAAAAAACACATTCATATGAAACGTTACACAATCAAAACATAATCTGTTCATCCTAATAATTTCCAGAAACCACCAAAAACCAAAATATACAATACACACATAAAGCCGCCAACTTTCATGGTAAGGCAGCAACATCAAGCCACAATCGACCAAACCCAGAAAATAAAATGCCTCAAAAATCAAGAAAGCACCAACCTTGATGAAATTGTTGCCTGCCTGCGATTGAGTCTTCGGATTTTGCCTCCGAGGAGATAACAGATCGAGAGAGAAAACGGTGGTGTGGCGGTCGGCCGGTGGATGTGTGGTGAAGGAAGGCTGGAGTGGAGAGTTAGAAAGAGACGATAGTATGGTGTGGAGAGGGAGGTTTAGGGGCTGGAGATGAGGGAGGCTTAGGCAGGGACAATCGAACAGGGGCTGCGCAGCGCTTCTGCTTCGATTCCAGTTCGATGGAACAAATGGAGACGGAAGTGAAGTGAAGTGAAGTGAAGTTAGTGAGATCAGACCTAAAACAAATCAACGGCACAAATTAAATCTAAAACAATGAACAGTTCAAATAATTTTCTTATAATTAAAAAATAATATATATATATATAATTTTTTTTTGGGTTCGGTATGGGAATGCCGAAAAAATGAAATGCAAAACCGAATCCCATACCGAAACTTTCGGTTTGGTTTGGGATTTTTGGGATTTTTTTCTAGCCCTAATATTTTTACACTAAGGAGAGAGGAAGTGCTGCAAAATTACATAATGGGCAACCTAATTTGGTATCGCATTCACCATTTACGAGATTCGAACTTAATACCTCTCACTTCAAAGTGAAGAGAAATACCACCAGACTATAGTATTGAGTGACAATTAAAGTGATTCTATAAGAACACTTGGAATACTTAGAAGTGTTTTTACAAAGTCCAGGTGTTTTTGTAACCCAAAATTATTTTTCTTAAAAACGCTTTCAGTCATTTAAAAGCATTTCACGAATCAAACATTAAGTTAGCGTTGAAAAGTTTATGACGTCTCCTTCAACTTTATAAAAAAAGAAAGTTTCTTAGAAAACATCATCTTCAATTACTTATGGCCCAAATAAGCTCAAAACGTTAATATGTCAAACTGCGTATTTACTTTTATTTAATCGCCATAATCGAACGACTTGTAATTTAGGGATGAGATTTTGACATAACCAACAAGTATGACTTGCGAATCTACTCTGTTTGAAATTACTCTGAAGTTCCATCATTCTATCACTTTTATTCAAAGGAGATTTTGCTTGTCCTACAATCCAAACATAATAAAAATATCGATCAAGTGTATATATATTATAAAATATCAGTAAACATAGAATAAAATAAAATATAATTTCAAATATAAACTTTAACGAAAAACTACATTTTTTACATTAAAAAGTCAAATCTGATACTATTTATTTACTCTTTATTTTGTGTTTATAGTTAAAACTCAAAATTTTCAAATCATTTTCATTAGTTTTATTTATAATATAATATTGACTCATAGCACGGCTTTCTTGCCGAGTGTGAAAAGGGTTTTAGGGCAGTATCCAACGGCACGAGACGTGGTAATCCCTGATACTCCTCCACGTTTCGTCAAGTACCAAATCATCTGCCCTAAACCCCCGCCACACTCCACCACTCCCCCTCCCCTCCCCCCTCTCTTTCTCTCTTACCCACTCTGTTCGTCACTGCTCTGCACGTTCAATTCACGCGCCGTCTCGCTCCTCCGCACTCCCAGGCGCTGCCAAAACATCTCCAGAGTGAAGATTTTTGTACCCATTTGCAATTCCTCCTCCTTCCTGCTCAAATGGATCGCCTCCAAGGTTCTAGCTTTCCCTCTAAAATCCAAAATGCCATCAAAATTATGCTTTTTTTATTTTTTATTTTCCCATTTGCCCAATTTTGTTCGTTGTAATTTATGATTGAATTGGTGATTATAGCATTTTGGTTTTAATTTAAGCAAGAGAATAAAAAAAATTCCATGTGAAAAAATGGAGTTTGAACCGTTGAGCTTGGGCAGTGATGATGTTCTTGAATTCGACATGATGGGTCTGGGTTACATTGACCAATCTGTTGACCATGATGACGTCCTTCATGATTCTTCTGCCACTGCTACTCCCACTCCTACTGGTTCCGATGTTGTCAGTAGTGTTGCTGTTTTGGAGCATTACATCCCGGAAGGAGACAGTAGCCTTGAACCCTGTGAGGGGATGGAATTCGAATCTGAGGAGGCTGCCAAGGCCTTTTACAATTCCTATGCTCGCCGCATTGGCTTCAGCACTCGTGTCAGCATGTCTCGTCGCTCCAGGCGCGATGGCGCCATCATTCAGCGGTCTTTTGTTTGTGCCAAGGAGGGATTTCGTGTCAACAAGAATGGGAAGTCTGGGTCTGACTGCGAAGGGCGGGCCAAGCGCCCCCGAGCAGAGACCCGAGTTGGTTGTAAGGCCATGTTGGTAATAAAGATTCACGACTCTGGGAGATGGGTTGTGTCTGCTTTTGTTAAGGAGCATAACCATGAGCTGGTTCCACCTGATAAGGTGCATTCCCTTCGCTCTCATCGTCATGTCTCGGGTTCTGCAAAGTCTTTGATTGATACCTTGCAGGGTGCTGGGATTGGCCCCAGAGGAATTATGTCTGCCCTCGTCAAAGAATATGGTGGAATTAGGAATGTTGGCTTCACGGAGCGTGACTGCAGGAATTACATGAGGAGTTGTAAGCAAAGGACCCTTGGAGGCGACACTCAGCTGCTCTTGGATTACTTGAAGGACAGGCAAGCTAAGGACCCGGCATTCTTCTTTGCTGTGCAGGGAGATGAAGATCAGTGCATGGGCAATTTCTTCTGGGTTGATCCTAAGGCAAGGAATGACTATACTTACTTCGGTGACACTGTTACCTTTGACACAACTTACAGGTCAAACCGCTATCGGTTGCCTTTTGCACCTTTCACAGGGGTTAACCATCATGGACAGCCTGTGTTTTTTGGCTGTGCCCTCCTGATAAATGAATCTGAGGCATCGTTTCTTTGGCTTTTCAAAACATGGCTCATGGCAATGTCTGGCCAACCTCCACTGTCAATTACGACTGATCATGATCGGGTGATTACCCTGGCCATTACCCAGGTTTTCCCTGAGACTCGACACCGCTTCTGCAAGTGGCACATATTTAAAGAATGCCAAGAGAAGTTGTCCTCTGTGCTTTGTGAGCATTCCAACTTTGAATCAGAGCTTCATAAATGTGTCAACCTGAGTGAATCAATTGAAGAGTTTGAGTCTTGTTGGCTGTCCCTAATTGGTAAATATGATCTCAGGGAGCATAAATGGCTCCAATCGATGTATGCTGATCGGCAGCAGTGGGTCCCTGGGTACCTGAGAGGCACCTTCTTTGCAGAAATGTCAGTAACACAGTGCAGTGATAGCATGAACTCTTATTTTGATGGATATGTCAATGCATCAACAACTCTACAGCTGTTTGTTAAGCAGTATGAGAAAGCTGTTGAAAGTCGGTATGAGAAAGAAGTGAGGGCAGATTATGATACTATAAACACTGCTCCGGTTCTTAAGACCCCTTCGCCCATGGAGAAACAGGCAGCTGGGCTTTACACGAGGAAATTGTTTACGAAATTTCAAGAGGAGTTGGTTGAGACGTTAACATTTTTGGCAACGAAGGTTGAGGACGAGGAGGCAGGATCCATTTATCAAGTTGCTAAATTTGGGGAAAGTCATAAAGCTTATACGGTTAGATTTAACGTTCATGAGATGAAAGCATTTTGTAGTTGCCAGATGTTTGAGTTTTCTGGCCTTCTTTGCGCACACATCTTGACAGTTTTTAGGGTGACAAATGTTCTCACTCTGCCATCTCATTTCATTTTGAAGCGTTGGACGAGGAATGCCAAGAGTGGTGTCATATTGGAGGAACATGCCGGCGATTTGCTGAGTAAGTCACAAGAATCTCTAACAGTACGGTACAATAATCTGCGTCACGAGGCACTTAAATATGTTGACGAAGGGATTACAACTGCTGAAATTTATAATGTGGCAATGGACGCCCTTCAAGTGGCTGCAAATAAAGTTGCCACTGAAATGCAGAACGGCAGGAGAGCGGCCACAACTAATACAGCTGGAAGAGAAGATGGGTTTCGTTTGGGAAATCAATCAAACAATACCTTCGGTGATCATAAACGGGGTTTTGAAACTCTATCCGCGGTCAGTTTCCTCCTGTAACCACATGAAACCTCTTACCTATATGATAACATTAGGGCTTTATTGTCTGTTGAAGTAGTTGGGGAGGGATAGTTGGCAAGATATCATGAGTACCGGAGACGTGGAAATTTGGGTGCACATGCTTATCTTGCGGGATACATCTGTTACGTTTTCATCCTTCGATTATTTGACATCTGGTATCTGGTTTTGCAAATGCTGAGCTGATGGTTAATTTTGCGATTCAATTCGATTTTGCAGGATCACCAGGACAAGAAAATGCAGAAACTAGAGCGTCAACTCGAGCGCGCACGACGGAAATGTGAATGGTATAGAGCTAACTTGCTTTCGGTTTTGAAAGATATTGAGGAGCAAAAGTTAGAGCTCTCTGTTAAAGTTGAAAACATTAAGCTGAGAATGAAAGAGTAGTGTTCAATGTTCTCTCTGCAATCCCCCCCCCCCCCCCTCCCCTCCTCCCTCTCTCTCTCTCTATCCCCGGCGCGCCTAGATATTATAATTATGGTTAAAACCATGCACTGGTTATACCATTTTACGTATTTTAGTACCACACAATAATTTTTGCGCGCGTGAGCAATTAGGATCAATGTCACATCAAGTAGGGACGAGTGTGACAAACAATTAATTGAAAAATGGAGTAAGTGTCTTCACTACGGGCTTCGACCCTATATAAACTACTAAATTGATTAATAAAGTATGAATTAATTTAGAGCTTAATTTACAAACATAAATATGCCACTTTCTGTTGCTCCAGATGAAGGTTTTGACTATCAGCTTTGACTACTAGCTAAGACATCAAGAGCGATTTTACAATCTGACTTTATAGTTAATACAATGTGTTATCGCTAAATTTCCCAGAAAATGAATAGAAAAAAAAAAAACTAACGAAAAGTCCTCAAAACTTTAGTTTTAATCAAAATGATAAAATAAAGGTGTAAGTGAATAGTACCAGGAACGACTTTTCAAGGTAAAAATGTCCTTAATGTTAAAAGCGAACAGTACCAGAAGTGTTTCATTAAGAATTCCTTAAAAAAAAAAAAAAACCGGAGAAGAGGGAGCTGCATGTATAGGTGTACATAGCTAGAGTACGTACGATCTGTTCAAAGAATTTTCAATTGGAGATCAGCGTGTCCAACCCGTGCCTTGTGCCGTTCGAAAAGATCCTGCAGTGCTGCGACAAACTGACCGTGCACTTCATTCACCTGTAAAAAGAAAATAGAAGCATGAACTCCGACTTTTTAGCCATCACCGGTCTAGTAGGCTACGAAATTTTCAAACTTCAATATATATATAACTCCGTGGAGCTGCAGCAGCCAGTGACTCCCATCACCCCGATAAACTTCAGTTCATGGATATCGCTTATGGGATGGAACTATATCTGTATCCAATAGGCTTTTGAATACATTAATAGCTCTTGACATGGGAGGAGTTCCTCAAGTCAACAAGTAATATATGCTATGGCTCTGTAGAAGATACGATATTTCACTCGAATGGAGTTTCAATTGCAAAAGAAACTGAAGATGGAGATGGATGTGGTACGGAATAGGCATTGAACATTACAACTTTGGTTTTGAGAGACGTCTTGTTTTTTAAGGCAAGATTAGATGCATTAAATCAACCATGATGCATGTGGAAGATGAAGTTCGGGGCAACAGAAAGAGTGCTAAAAAGTAAGTTGGATACTGTCCAAGCACAGTTTTCCCATGATTGAATGTTCAGAGAGAACTGAACACATACGTTATGCTCAGTTTTGGTGGAATCCATACCTCTTCCATGCTGGGTTGTGGAGTCTTCTTGACATCAATTGGTTTTCCGACCACCACGTGCATTGGATGACTGTACGGTACAGGACTTCTGCATTCGAGAAGCATGATATGAACAATTAACAGTTGCCAAAAACCATAGCGTTGCTAATATTCAAACATCACAAATGTACAAATATACATAACTAAATCCTTGTTTGGTTAGAAAAATAAACGAATCCTTCAATAGTAATAGAACTTCTCACTCTAATGGGAAACTTTTCCACCGGAATAGTTTTTCCTTTTGAGATTTTACAGACATACTTTCCAAAGCTAATTGCAAAGATAGAAGTTCTACAATTGCTATTAAGACGACGACAATATAGTATCTTAAACTCAAAATACATACCCAAATAATCCCCAGAAGAAAACTGGGGTGAACTTGATAACTCTAGCAAACTTCAAAATCAATTCCCCACTTGGTTTCCACCACTTGTAAACATTTGACTGCAACATGGATGGATCAATAGAAAAGAAATGGGAATATCATTCCATCGTTAGATGAAGCAGATGCATTAGAGATGAGAAAAGTATAATCAACAATCCCAATAAATGATGTGGTTTCACATAGAAATTGCAACGAACTAATCTTAATAGCTAGAAAACTGTTGACATCAATACATGTTTGGACCAGAAAAGCCAGCACACAGATGCAAAACAGATACCACGTGACTGGGTACTAGATGACTTAATAGGTGGAAAAACTAGATTGAAAATGCCAAAAATGGCGATACCTGACCAAAGCAGAAAACTGGAACCAGGGGATTACCCAGCTCCATGGCTATTCGAACAAATCCTCTTCTCGACTTGAGGAATGCTATCTACAAAGTAAGAACGGATTAGCAATTAGAAACGGAATTACAATTGAGAAAACAGACACCAGCTGATTGTCAGATTAGTGCATATAGCAACAGATGACTAGATGAAAAAGTAGAGCAAAAGCACAAGAAAGATTTTATAGATGTAAACCTCAGTGCCATGCTCCATATAAAATGTCTCCTGCACTCCACCAGGCACAATGATACAACTATAACCAGCAGATAAGTGGGAGATAAAATTACTCCTTGTGGCCGGTGTAAGACCCAGCCATGTCCATATATGTCTCAGGAATGGTGTGTAGAACACCTAAGCATAATTCCCAACACAGAATCAGCAAAAGTATAGAATATAGATAAGAAACTGTAGGGAAAAAGGTTGAGACATGAATTGAAGAAAGAGTAGTGCCAACTAAGCGAAGATGTCTTACCGCGCTACTCGCAAGGACCTTAATTTTGGGGAGAGGCAAGAACCCAGTAAGGTCAGCAAGTGCAACAACACCAATTGGCAAAACCGAATGTGGTTCATAACCAAAGACTGCATCAACCACAGATAGCCAAAATGCCACTCCTATTATTAATTCATCACAGCTTCTAACGTGATATAAATACATTGGGAAACATGCAAAAGTTTGACCAGTCACAAACTTTTACTCAAAAATAGAACTAGAGGGACACTAAACCGTGGTTTATGTCCATTTAGTGTACTTCGGTTCTATTTTTGATTAAAAGTTTGTAACCGGTTTTACTTCCATAAAAGAGGAGATACCATAAGAGCGATTAGGATCAAAGGCATTGATGTCCTCTGCGTACAGAGTCACGGGAAAATAAGCACAGGCATGCTTACATATGTACCTGAAAATCCAATCCAAACCAACATAAATTACTTGTATACTTGTCAGTTCCGCTTTGTGCAGGACGTCTTGTCTTTAACTAATCGGATACAATAAATAAAAAGCCTAAGCTCTACATGATGATTCTACACCCTAAACGTCACTAAATATGATCAAATTTGAAGTTAATAAATTGCGCAAATGACGTCCTGCAAGGAGAATCTCCCCAAAAACTAGCAATCCAATTCCCAAAGAGCCCGAAAAGGGTGCAACTTTTACCTGGAAAGTGATCTTCCTAGTTTGCTCTTATCATCAACTGGGATGATCATAAACAATACAAGCAACCCAAGTACACTGAAAATTTTCAAAATTTTCACCAAATAAATCAATAAATTAATGACAAAAAAAAAAAAAACCAAATTAGGGGAGAAAAAAAAAAAGGCTGAGAAAGATGAACACTTACAGAAGGGCCTTGGAAAATGGAAGGAAGAAGATTGTGAAGAGAACCAGAGCCGCGTTGAAATGGATTGTACCCAGCCAAATACCCAGAGCCAGAACCATGTGCAAAAAATTTGACCCGAATATTTCTCTGCCTTTGAAAACCGCCATTTTCTGAGATTCTTCCTCCTTCATCTCCATCATTTCTGCTTCTGCAACTTCTTCTTCTTGTCCTTGGGAGCAATTTAATCCGACCCAACAAATTAAATTGCTAATAAAGATGGAAACTTAGGTGGTTTCGAGAAGATGTGGTCACGGTTGAGTAGCATCGGTGTCAGCTGTCACCGTCCCAGCTCCCTTCTCTCAATGTTTCTGGGTCTTTCTCTGTTAAGCGCATCATTGCTTCACTTTCTATCGGTGAGGCATATAAAAGACCAAGAAAGTGAGCAAAACAGATTCGTCCACCAATTATTTATTTAACAAATTTGGTGCAACCATCTCCACCCTACGACAATGTTTCATGTTTACGCTGCACTTAAATAATACAGTGTCATTTTCTACGAGACGTTTTTGGTACAAATTGAATTTAAGGTTTTTCACTTAAAATTACTTAACTGTAAAGAATAATATTACTAAACCGTATTACTAAGTAACAGATTTTATTTTTATTTTTAACCATGATGCAATTTCATCGTTGAAACCAGCACTTATTTTTGTTTAGTCATTTGATTATTGTTCCAAACATTTATATATTTTTTATTCAAAAACTATGTTGGTATTTATTTGATCATAATTATAAAACACTAAATGATTTTTAATTTTAGTAAGTTTTTACAAGATGAACTTTCAAAGAATATATGATAAATAAATAACTTGGATAATGTAATACACGATCGGGTAGACGAATTGAGTAGTTAACACTTTTATAAAAAGTGAGGGGTTTTTTTTTTTTTAAGTGCATTTTTGCTGAGCACATTTAAGTGGTAGTGATGCACACCACCTTATTAATTAATGTTAGATGAGTTTAAATCTCAAGATTTGTAGTAGATAAATTAAATCAAAATCATCCAATGGTAATCAATAAAGCAGCAAGCATCACCATCACTTATGAATGATGAGCAAAATAATTCCACTTTTGGTTTACTTTCTTTATCTTCTTTATTGAATTTAGAGGTGTGTGAATTTTTTACTTTTCACACACGTCTCTTAATTTCAATCGTCGAATTTTGAATTAAAGAAAATCAAAAGCAAAAGTTAACAATGAATTTGTGAGAACTTAAAATAAATGTGTGAATAGCACCACTCTTGGGTTAAATTTCGAAATGGCGTGAGTGATATCCCTATGTTAGTATTATAGTAAGAAAAATGTTAATAATATCATTAACTATAATTCATTACCAATCTTAGCCGAGATCCAACTTTCCATTCAAATTCTGTCATTTTTGCCTACGTGCGATTGGTTAAATTTGAGAGAATTTGAATTAAAAATTCTATTTAGACTAGTTTAATCACATAATTATTATATTGAGATTTTTTTCTTAACTACAGACCTAACATACAACTTACAAGATATGGAGTTCTTAAAGCAAACATAGAATTTGATACAAAGTTGAGCGTAACATCGTTCTTGAATTCATACAGCTGATCTCATTTATTAGGATAAAACTTTAGGATGATGTCATCCACATACCTATTTTTACCTTTCATGCATCTCTTGTTAATTTATGTCATCTGATCTTATTCAATTCATTTAATCCAACGGTCAGAAAGTGAGAAAAGTGTGTGAAAATCATTACCCAAACTTTATTGTTGTTGTTGGTGGTCAACTACATACCTAACACGTTACCACACCACAAAGATACTTTATGCAAATGGATAATGTTCTTTACACACTCATGTTTATTTTTCACATATCCTTGTTAACATTTGGTTAATGAATTTTTTTTTAATTTATTCGATCTAATGATGTAAAATTAAAAAAAAAAGTGTTAATAAGTAAAAAATATATGAATAACATCACCTATTCAAATTAGCCTTTTTCCTAAACATGACGAACATGCAGTTGACCAACGCTTAACCAACTTTTCACGACTGTACCAAATTCCCAGCGGCAGTAACGACTACTATTCAACGAAAGACCATAGTTTTGCTTCACCCGCACGGAACGTCCATTTTTCACATGTCATACTGAAAGTGTGTTTGCTTCTGAAATTAGGCAAGTAGAAGATGCAGTTTACCACGCATTAATTACACGTGAACAACAACCAGTAGTGATTAGAGAGCGGTTACATATATTTGTCGGAAAGGGATCTCTCCAGATTCTTTCCGGATCTCTTATACTTAATCCTCCTCATCAAACAATCCAGACGATCGGGTCCTTGAAATTTGATCTAACGGTTAAAGTTATTATAACTTTTAGAGTGGACCCTTGTTTTTAGCCGTTTGATCAAATTTCAAGGGTCCGGATTGTTTGATAAGGAGAATCAGGTAGAAGGGATCCGGAGAGAATTCCTTTCCATATTTGTCCACATTTGTTTTTAATTTTTTTTAAAAGGGGTCAGCTAGTGACTTTGTCATGCAGTCCACTCTTCCGGGGGCTGGGAAGACTCACAGAAGCATTTCAATATCTCCTTGGCCATCATTATGCAATTCACCAGCGTCAGGAATCGAACCCAGGATGTGTCGTGTGGAGTATGAGTTTGGAATTCATCACCAACCACTGGGTCACCCCGTGGTGGTTTATTTGTCCACATTTGAAGGTTTGCTCTTTGTATCAAATCAAAAGCCTTTCTATCTGTTACAAGTTCGACTAATCTCGTTAACTAACTTTTAGTCTAAGACCAACTCCAACTCTTAGACCCAAACATAAATATTTGGGTTTAAACCCAAAAAATGCCATCTACAGCTAAGACCCAAAACCTACACAATTTGAGTTTGAATCCAAATCAATACTCAAACTTGGGTTCCGATTTGGCTGACCCAAATCTTGAGTGAGCCTCACTTTTTTCTTTTTAAAATGTGGCCGCAAACAGTTAGTGACCGACAATTGAGCCTCGCATGGAAGGGCTCTAGTTGTCCAAAGGTAATGTGAATCCTTCGATTTCTGGACCGTTGGCTATCAACGGTCCATATCAAACTCCCTTTTTTTAGCAATCTTTTGAAATTGAACTAACAGTTTCATTTTTGTCAAATCCAACGGTTAAAAAAGATTCATCGGCTAAAAAAAATTCAAGGGCAAAATAATAAAATACATGTTTGGTGTGTGTAATGAAGTTTGGTCGGTTGGGGTGTACAATGAAGCTTGGTTTGTTGAGTAGTGACTAGTAATTTTGGAAATTTTGCTGGAATTTAATTCTTTTTATGTTAAAACATTCATAAAATTAAATTAAGATAACATAACTCAAAGTTACCAAAAAAAATCCTATTGAAAAAAAATTGGGTTAAATTCATTCCACAACAATTTAATACATTTTAGGTCCTAGAATTTAGGTCATGAGCAGGGCTGCCCCTGAGGGAGTGCAAGAATTGCCCCCCACACAGGGCCCCCAAATTTTTTAATGTGATACAATACCTATAGGTTATATATGTTGTTGTGCACTAGTATAACAAAGTTTACTCTTAGCACAAGTGGTGTTTCCTTGTTCAGTTTCATGTGAGATTTGTGGGTTCAAATCTCGTCACCGCCTCCAGTCTTGGTGCTTTGTCTTTTAGGTGATCATAACCAAACTTATTTTCTATTGGTACTTCTCTTCAAATTAAAAACCTTCTATATATTGTTACATAAAATTATATGCCGCTGTGATTTACAACTCAAAATTAGAGTGTTAGATACAAATTTAGAAGTGGCGGACAATTGGACATTGATCGGGAGAAGTATATAAACAGTATAAGAAGTTTTTGGCAACGGCGAACGTTCGGTGGTGGCAGTCGATCAGTTGGCACATGAAAAAAGTTTAAGGTTTCGTGACCTTGTTACGTTTTGGTATCTGATTTGGTTTGTATTGACTTTTTGGTTGAATTCCTTGCTTGGTGGAAAGATTTTTTTTATTACCGAGTTGATTAGGATTTGGATTTACTTCCAATTAGGATTAGGATTCTCATTGTAGCCAAAGTCCTATGCATTATAAATAGGACCTTAGGGTTAGTTTATTTTGTGTGCCGTCGCCATTAATGTAGAGAGTTTCCTCTCTTTTAGTTTTTGGAGTGGAGGTCACCGTTTGGATTCATAAGTGTGGCAAATTCATAGCTTTGGGAGAGACTTCTCCGTTTGTTTTGGATCCTCTATTCGTTTGGTTTAGAATTTGTAAGTTGTGGAATTTGCGTTGTGAGAGTTAAACACTCTTTTGTAATCTCAATTTGTTTTGTGAGATTTTTCTTCATGCTTTGCCCTTGCACGTAGGCTTTTCACCGAATCACATAAATCTCTAGTCTTCTTTTGTGATTGTTTGTTTTAACTTTCACCTATAACTTTAATATTTGATACTTTATTAGAATTCGCTTACATATACACATAAAAGTACAACGCATGTAATGTAACCGGCAAACTCTTAGAGGGGTGTATTCAATTAGGATTCTGAGAGAGTTTCAGGGAATTAATAATTTCAGGGGTATTCAATTAGGATTTTAAGTGATTCTCTGAAATTCTAGGTGTATTCAATTAGAATTTCAAAATAGTTTATTAAAGAATTTGAGAAAGTTAAAGAATTAGAGGGAATTGGAGAGATTTCGTAGTGTATTTTAAGTATCCACAAATCTCACCTCTTCCCATGAGATTTCGAGAGAATTGAATCAAAATTTTATATGGAATCTCTACAAATCAATTAAACTCCATAAAAATCCATGGATTTATAAATCCATTAAAATCTCTCACATTCTCAATTGAATACACCCCCCCTTAATTTAGCGGCCACGAAGTAAACAGATTAGAGGAAATTGATGAAGAGAGGGGGAATTAGGGAGGAGATAAAGGGCTGAGAAACTTCCAATTGCACATCTGGCTCCGCTTTTACTCACTTTTCAATGTTAGAACATGTCCCAATTTCGAACGGCTACTCTCACTCCCAATTGGTTGAAAAAATTCAATACAAGCCCATCTCTTTATCCCACCCCCATTTAGTATTGTCCTCTATTTTCTATTCATATTCTAGGATGTGTGATTGTAATTTGTAAGTGATAATTTTTTGATATTTTCTATAATTTTTTTTCTTATTGTTTGGGGATAAATTGTAGGGTGCACTTTCGTCCACGTTTATTGTGGCCTCTGGATACATACATAATATAGGTTGTCCATTATCTTATATTTAATTAAACTAAACAAAAAATAATTGCACACGAAATCAATTATTATCTTAATCCTGTTTATCAACAAAAACTTGTGGCAGTGGTCATCTTATATTTATATAAACTAAAAAAAGAAAAAATTGCACACGAAATCAATTATTATCGTGATGGATTAACATGTGGCATCGACAATTAATTAATTAATGCAGAAAATAATTTTTCAGGATGATTAATTAATTAACATCCCATTCTCCTCCATCTAAACCATTCTCTCATCTGAATAATGGAAGCAACATTTTTCTTTCTTCTGCCCTTCTTGCAACAATTTGGCTTCCTCACATATGCTTCTGAAGATCCTTGCCCAATTTCCTCAGATGCTTCAATTGTGAAGCAGCTTGAACTTGATGCATTTTCCACATCCATCTCATGGCTTATCTAAATTGGGGAGGATGAAAAATATTTCAAAGATATTACTAAATTCATAGCGAAAAAAAAGATTTGAAAAAAATCTACCAAAAAATATTCATTCATGGTTACCTGCAAAACACGCTTCTCAAGCATAGTTACTCTCTCCATCAGTGTGCCTTTGTGATGTGCTTCTTCAATTGCAGATGACAAAGTCTTACACTGATCATCTTCTGGTTCCAAGGAGGTAGGACAAGAAGAATGCTTGGCTGATAGGCAATGCTTGTGTTCCAAGAACTGCAGCTGTAAATCATGGAGATGGTGCATCTATGAGCATATGCGCAAGCTCATAAAATAAAACTATCAATGGGAAAAATAAAATGAAGAGACACATTTTACCAAACGATCGAGACGATCCAGTCTTTGGAGAATCGGCATTGGTAGACTGATTTCTTCTTTTCCATTTTTATCCATGATCGAGATGTGGACGTAACTACATTGACTAAAGTATAAACAAATAGCAGATTCAAGCATGCATTTTTTTTTTTGTAGCTAAATTGTAAAAGTATAACGTTTTTCAAGAAATTTGGGCTTATAATTCTGAAACTTTTAAGAGCATGGACAACGCTTCCATTTTAGAAGCAGCTTTTAAGGGCAACCACCTTGCCATACTTTCACTACTACAAGTTTTCTTCTAGAAATACATATTTTTTATTTATTTATTCTTATCTCATCATCTCTTATCTTCACAAGATTTTGCTTTCAATATATCTCTTTCCAATCTCTCTTCCTTGTCAGAAGTGATGGGTTGGCGCTTAACTCCAAGAGCCTGTTTGGTTGGCTGAATGAAATTGGATTTTATGGATAGGATTGAATTGGCAGAGATCGATTAAGTTTTGTAAGACATAACTTGTAATTTAGGTGTAAGAATATGTTATATAACCTATTCTATTGTGGATTTATAATTCATCTTGTCTAACTCACATTTTGATACAACAAACAATGGACTGTCCATTTTAATTGGTCATAAAGGCTTCTTTAGAAGTGCTTTTAAAATTGTTAAAAATGGTGAAAAAATTTCTTAAACCAATCTTTAGTTAAAATATAAGTGAATTATGGAAAAAAAACACTTTAAATGTTTTTGGAATCCAAAAACATTTTTTTTCTAAAAGCAGTTTCCATTATTTTAAAAGCACGTCCAAACGAGGCGTAAATCTCTGATTATATTCTATTTACATAATTGTGTTTAGTCCTATTACGATTACATGCATTTAATATAAACTGCAAGAAAGGAATACGTTCTCTCTAACTAATATATGATTATACTCACGTCTACAGGTTGCTCGTGGTTTTGTATATTCAATCTTGCATAATTTTCCCGAGATGGAGAAGATTAATATAAGAAATATTATTCTTATTTTATGGTTTGATCAAGAAATTCCCTCGAGATTTGATGATTATTTCTTAAATGCATAAACAATGTCCTTGGAAAGTGAATATGGCTTTGTTTCACATGCTCGTTTTCCTTGGCGTATAATCAAATCTTTGCGGCAGCTTTGACATTATTTAGTTGCGCAAGGCCATGCTAATGTTATATGTATATTGTTCATTTTATCGGATGTTCTTAAAAAGGCAGTTCACAATTATATTGAGTTTTTTTGAGTAAGTTTTTCATATAATTCAAACTTGTTACATCTTGCACGAGTTTATGCATGCATATTAAGCTATAATTAGGCTTATAAATATTTTTTTTAATTATTAAGAAGATGAAAAAGATTTGAAACTATTACAATAATTTAGGAAGGAGAAATTCTGAACTCTGAACAGCTGGATGAAAACTCAACACCCTATTTACTGGGATATTAGGTCACATGTGAGGCTTAGAGCAAGTCCACCCCTAAAGACTTTACGCCATCACCCATCTCATTTATCCACTCAAGTGAATAGTAATAGACCCCGATAAACAGTAATAGGCCAAAACATCTCCACTCCTAACAAAAAATAGCCAAGTCAATTTTATTAAAATATTATTATTTTTTATTATAAAATAATAAAAAATAATAATCTGACAGATTGTACATCAAAGCACGCCAACCCACCACCACCTTCATCATCACCATGAGCTCTCTCTCTCCCTCTCCTTCCCTCTCTCTCCAAAAATGCTCCTTAGACCAGAGCATGCCAACCCCGCACCCCCCCATCTCCACCCTCCATCAAATCCCCACCTCCTCTTCACTCTCTGCTTCTTCTCCACCACCCACCGCCCTCTGCGGTCTACCCACCCCAAACTGGTTGATATCGGCACGTGGGCTCGCCAGCTCCAAATCCACCGCCTCTGGACCTATGCCCTGACCTTCAGCTGCATCATCGGATTTGATGTTATCGTCCTCAACAGCTTCCAAGACCAGCTCGTCCTCAACAACAAGTTTTGGGTCGGCGACCTTGTCCTCGAAGGTAGCGTCGTCCAGCCGTCTTCCTCATCGGAGATGGAGTTCGTCATCACCGATTTCATATCATGACGTCAGCCTGACGTCATATAGGTCGGTCCCAAGGTCTGTCAATTTTGGGCTGGCCTGGAGACTAGCTTGGGCTGGGTGCCAAGCAATCCCGTGGGCTGGAGTGGGTTGACAGTGTCCCAGCCTGGTTTTTTAATTGGGTGCTGGGCTATTCCACCTCCGGTGGACTTGCTCTTATAAATGGAATGATTTCTTGTAATTAGGTTCATTGTTTACAAGATTTCATCACTAAACTTGTTACATCGCTTATTCGCTTAATAAACAATACCCACCTGGAATTGTTTAAGAAATTTAGTTATTTGTTCTATAATTTATTCTAAACTTGGTTACATTCATGAAAATTGTATTTTGTAATTTAACAAGAAAAAAAAGTTCAACCTCCATTTTCTATAAAAATCTGGACTTGCACAATAGAAACTTAACTACAACTAAGATGCCGAAAGTTCTTCTCGACTAGCACAATAATATATGCATAAATATATATTATGTAGTAAATTCTGGATACAGAAACTATCAGTCCTTTTCATTGGGACTTTCCTTTTCAAAAGGGGTGAGCAAGGCATAAGTGATTGCCATTGCTATCCAACCTCCAACTAAAACCCTAACAGCAGATGGCATCGCCGGGGAGCCGCCCATACGAGCTCCCACGCAGCCAAAGAGAGCCAGAGCTAGTGAAGCCACTACCACAACCACCGCCATTCTTATAGTATTTTGAGGAATAAACATGGCTGAGAGTAAAGGCACAAGTGAGCCACACAGAAATGCCAAGGCTGATGCAGCTGCTGCCTTGTGTGGACTTGGCAAAGACTCCTTCCCTTCCCTAATTTGTGTGATCTCAATGGCAGTAATCTTCCTCGTTTTCTCCGGCTGCTCCGGCGGCTTGGATGCTGAATTTCCACATGGGAGTCCTGTTGAAGGAGTCAGTTCAACTGAAATGGTTAGGTTAGATTGTTCTTTCATCTCTTTCTTACCCGTCTCAGTTTTGAAACCGCCCTGTCTTAAAAGAGAAGTCCTTTCAATATCTCTTTGTGTTGATACCGAAACAAACTCCCCCACAGCCATGCTGCAAGCTCCTGCAACAGCTCCCGCTATGCCGGATAAGACCATCGTCCCACGATCTTCCTTCGCTGCCCCGACGCCAAGCATCAAGGACGTGGTTGACAGTAACCCGTCGCTTGCTCCCAGAAGAGCAGCTCTGAGCCACTGAGCTCTCTGCACTTGCTCGGTCCTTGTGTTCGCGTATTTCTCGTCATCAGTTACAGGAAGCTTGTGCTCAACTGGGGTTTCGAGCGTTCGACGAGAAGTATCCATGGGAAAGAGATGGAAAAGTTTTACTGCAGAAATCGGATTTGGGGAGTGTGGCTTCTTCAATTTTCCACAAGCTCGGAGGAACACGTGGTGTTATAAATCAAAAGTCTAGGCTCCCACATTTGATGATTGAGAACGAACAAAAAAACCTAGGTGGTTCCGTTGAAGATGACAAGGAACCCAAACGTTTAAACCTATGATTTTTGTCACATCTCATTGCTTTCTAAGGAAAGATTCTTACCTATGTTGCTACCTTCTCTTCTTTCATTTTATCTGTTGTGTCGTTTTTCATCTCTCCTAAGGTACCAATAACTTATTTTGTTGCATCTTTAAGGATATTCCATACTCTTAAGTGCTCGTTTCAACCGATACGCTCACAAATCGTACTTCTTCTGTTCGACAGCAAAAAATTTCCAAAGAAAAAGTTTTGATAGATCTTTTCATGCTAGGGTATGTGCAGAGGCATCTATACTTTCTCATACATGAGAATATGAGATGCATTTGTCTGAAGGTAACTACAACAAATGATATGTTTCATTGGTAAGTTGTGTTCCTATGTCATAAAAAAAAAAAAAAAAAATTCATCTGCAAACACTTATGCTGGTTTCTGCGGATTGCATATGTGGAGCTCACCGAGATATTCAATGCTGAAAACCGAAGAAAAAAGATGAATTAGGTTAAATTCTGAATTTTAAACTTTTATCTATTCAAAGAACTAGATTTAGTAAAATGAGATGTCTACAACAGCGATGTGTGATCCGCATACTTTATTGCACAAGTGTACTGTATGACTGGAATAACTAAAGCCACAGTAACCATCAGATACATCTAACGGTTTATATTATGACAACCAATGGGACAAGATCAGCATATAGAATCATCAGTCATGCCACTTTCCTGGAAAAAATAAAGAAAACTATTGGAGAATTATCGGTATCATCTACCATTGTGAGCTACTTCGGAGCTCTGAGATGGACCGTTTTAAACAAAATCAAATAACTAAGACCATAACATAGGATTAAGAAATAGAATCGAATATTTTTGTAGAGATAAGTCTATATGGTGGTTAATGCATTAAAGGTGCTGTTTCTTACTTACCCTATCGATATCCATCCCTCTTGTCTTGCTCCTCAGCTTCCTTGTTAGCAGTTTGAACAGATTTGAACCACAGGAATGCCTGCATTCAACATCCACGTTACAAAGCCAAGGGGATTGAGTTCATATCATCCACACACACAATCATCCATACCCCAGATTATTGATCCGTTGAAATGAATTTTTTGATGGTTTAGCATAGCACAATAGTTAAAAAGAATGATAGGTTCATGATGGAGGATCAGTAAATGAATAGATCAAACCTTGAAACTGAATTAAGAAGATCAAAAGAAACAGAACAACTTACAGAAGTGGGAATGCCAGTAAATGCAAAAAATCCAAGGACTGGAGCATAAAATATGCTGTCTGAACCCAAGATTCCGAAGACTGGCCTTTCGTTCACATACTCAAAAACAGAACCTATCTGCAATTCAACATTATTTTTCCTGTTATAAACCACATCAAAGGGACATATACAGTTTCAAAAGGACCAGGCGAGGGAGCTTACTGCGGCAATTGCAGTGATCGCTGAGGCGAGTAGATAAACAAAAAAGGGAACCTCAAATCCCTCTTGTGCATCATCTTTCTTGCCTTCATTCTGTGCCCAAGGAGGAGGCTCGTCTGAATCCGGTTTAGCCCACGAGGGGATTTTCTCATCAGACTTGCTTGATTTCGCGGAACCTTTGGTGACAGCAGAAACGGAAAACCTACGAGAGGACTTCCTTGTTAGAAAGCATTGATGGGTTTGATTTCTATTTGAAAGCGTTTGATCCCGGATTCTGTGTCCAGCACCCAAGAACAGTTTGGGTAACGGATTATCATTCATACAGCCATGGTTTACATTAAAATTGCACGCAAACAAGAAGCTTGCAGCCATAGTTTGTTCCTCTTCCTCGTTCTGCTCTTTCTGTTACTGAAGATATTAAAAAGCATAATATAGTTAGCAGCTAAACAATACTAATTCTAAGGCGGTTTTCCAAAAATTAAGATTGCTAAGCTCTTGTGCCATCTTCTCTTTCGGATAACACATAGCGGCTATATATTTTACATGATCAGTAGTCCAAGCTTGTGAGTGACACTAGTAAAACTCAGACCTATGTTCTGCTGTGGTTCTGAGTCTAAGTTTTTGCGGAAGTAGGGATTTCGCACTCCCTTCTACTTTTTTACGGATACAATTGAATATATCAAAGAAGAATCAACGAACAAAAATAGAGAGTGCAGCAGGAGAAATTGGGGGTGTGAAATCACTACTCTTTTGCTAACAAGCTCCACAAATTCAATCAATTTTAGATGACCAAACCACCCAAAAAGGTGGACATTGCCTTTCTAGCTTTACCAAAATTCAAATAACTATGATGAAAATGGAACCAAATGAGTGACTTAGATGCATCTTAATCATTCATTAGATTAGAAGATTATCCATGGAATGATGAGGCCAAATCTTTAATTACACAAAATTCATCAACTGTATTGTTCTTTACTCCTCAACAATGCGATATTCTAAACTACTCTAATGTACATTGAAGGGAATTGAACTCAGTGCAAGAGAAATGAGAATTTTTTTTTTCTTTTTTCAGTTAAAAAAGGGGGAAAGATTAGAGCTTTTAATTATTCTATTGACTATAATAAGAGTGGGTTAGTCAGGCCAGTACAAGTACTAAAGAAAGCTTCTTCCCAAGTGACTAAAATCTGAACAGAAAGTCAGGCAACTTATGAAGACACGAACTTTTCTGCACTAACGTGAATTTTGAGCAGATGCAAATTGCAATGAATTCAAAACCCAATTGAAATTTCACTAGTGATGATATAATAGAAAGAAAAAATAATAATTACTGAAAGAATTACAGAAAATTAAGAGGAAAATATGAGAGGTGAGGGAGGAGCGTAGAGAGCTTACCTTCTCGCTGGTGTTCTGCTTTATTTGCACCAGGTGCTCTCTCTCTCATTCTTTATTTATTTTTATTTTAATTATCTAGCATGGTCACGTGCCTCCCTCACAATCATGTTTCAATTTTTAATTAGTTGGATTCCTTCTAATTTTCAATCAATAAAATTTATTCCCCGTTAAGTCAAATCAAATAGATATCATGGATTGTTGGGGTATTTTAATATGTAGACCCAGCAGTTTCTGACACGACACGAAAATAACAGGTTTCGGGTCAATACGATAACTTATCAGGTCATTATCGGATGACCAGTTAAGAACCTGTTAATAATAGGTATACACTCGGGTAACACGTGGATAACCCGTTTCGATCCGTTAAGAAAAAATTTATTTTGATAATTTTAAAGTTTAATTACTAAAAGATTTATTATAAAATACAATAGCCATATTAATATATACAATATATTCTATATTAAATATATAGTTTTGTATTATTATTCTATATAAGTTTAAAAAAAAAAGTTTTAGTTATTATTTATTTTTATTATAAGAGTTCCTTATTATCATTACTAGGATAAATTTTACTTAACATGTTGTTGTCCAAAATTAAAATAAACTAATATAGTATTTGTATAAGTAAGAACTAAGAAAACATACATACAAGTATGAAAAATGTGAAAAAATATATAAACACTCGTGATTTATCATTATTCCTCTACAAGTACATAATGGTTACACTTACATTATCGTTCAAATTTTTAAAATCCTCCAAACCTTCACGAATAATGTTTTTATTTGAGGGAAAAATTAATAAAATTAATAAAAATTATTGTAGAAGTGTAAAAAAATGTAAAAAAAATATACAATCACTCATAGTGACAAACTTTGCAACTTTCATGAAGGGGTCAACTTCGAAATCTAACACTATAATTCATAAACCTTAAATTTATATTTAACCGTTGAATGCCATTTACGCTCTATTCTTCTTACTAAATCTCATTTTTAAAATTTTCTTTTTTGAAACCATAATCATCTGGCGGATGTAAGAAGATGAATGGTTCAGATCTTTGATATCACGTTTTGATATTTACGGTTAATTGAAATATGAGTCGATGTCATGTAGTTTGTAGAAACTTTATAAACATCAAGCAATATTTTCACTAACCGTAAAACTCTGAATATAATATCAACGATCCAAACCGTTCGTCTTCCTGCATCCTCTAATAGATCAAGTTTTCAAAAAAAGAAAAATCTGAAAAAACAAAATTTGATGAGAACAATGAAGCGTAAATGTAAACAAAAATCAACGGTTAAATTTTGATCTATGATTTATATGATTATAGTGGCGAATTTCGAAGTTAAGCTCTTCATGAAAGTTGTAAAGTTTGTCATTACGAGCGTTTATATATTTTTTTTCCATATTTTTTTACACTTCTACATTAATTAAAAAACTATTAAAGACTTTAGGTAAGTGAAATATACTTAAAAAGAAAATTGCGTTTTTATATTTTGAATGTGACAATATGATATGTATATACTTATTTAGTATTATGTTTTTCATTTGATTATTTATTGGTTTAAAATATATTTTCCTTAACGGGTAACGGGTCGGGTCATATTACCTGTTAATATTATCGGGTCGGGTCATTTTACCCGTTTATTTTAATGGGTATTACACAACACGACTTGTTAATATATCGGGTATGACACAAAAACGACACGAACACAGAAAACACGACACGAATGCCAGGTCTATTGATATGGGTCCAAAGTAACTAAAAATTGGACATATTTCAAAAGTCACTAAAAATTGGACTTGTTTCAAAAGTAAGCCTATCAAATTGGATCTGTTTCAAAATTTCCTCTTTTTTTTCTTGGGTAAACTGGATATATTAACCAGGCAAAAATGCCAAAAATACAATGAAAGCCCACACGAGGCAAACAACAAAAAAACAAAGTCGGAAGTGCAAGGGGAGAAAACCCGACAATAAAAGGAACAACAAGTGTCACCCCTTGCACGATCGAACAAAATTAATGTGGGCAAGGTAGACAATCATGGTGAAGTACATGAACAAGTGAAGATAGAGGTCGATCGACCCAAGTAAAGTTGCACATCTCCACAGAGCTTCGTGACGCCAAATGGTCAGCCGCTAAGTTAGCTGATCTTGGAACCCAAGACCAGCGACAGTCATGGAAGGAAACGCCGAGTTTCTTGCACTGTGTTAAGATTGGAAACGCCTCCCACCTGCCATTTATGAGCGTACCCATTAAACACAAGATTGAGCTCAATGAATCAGATTCTACAACCACACTGTGGATACCCATGGAATGACCTAACTCACAACCCCTCAAAATGGTGATAGCCTCAGTAGCCGTAGCAGTAGGGGCCTGAATAAGAATTCTTCGAGCAGCAATGAAAGCACCCACATAGTCTCTCGCCACTAACCCAACAAAACCATCATGCGAGGTAGCAACCTAACTCGCATCACATTAATTTTAACGGTGGGATGGCTTGACATCTGCCATCTTTCTTGCAGTTGATGAGCACGAGTTCTATGCTTTATACTACCCTGCCTTATAGTACTCGAATGACTGCACAATTTTGCACTAAAAGCCTTGACTTTGGTTGAGATATCTACCATCACCTGTGAAGGAACTATTGGTTGCTACTAAAAGAGGTAGCAATACCTGGCCTTCCATATATACTAACAAGAAAACACAACCCAAGTGAGAAGTCAGTCATTATCAGCAATCGAAAGCTCAAAGGCCGTGATAGTGCCCATCAACCAATTCGGCCATGTAGAGATTTTAGCCCTATTAACTCTATAATTGAGGATGCCCCCAAACCAAATAGTTGCCACCCACAGACAAAGGAGAAAAAAAGTGCTCCACCGATTCCTCATGCGATTTGCAAATGGGACATAGAGAGGAAGAGGTAGAATGACGTTTATAGAGGGACTGCATAGTGGGTAGGGCATTGTGCATAATTTTCCATATAAAGCACCAGAGCTTAGGAGGGGATTTGAGTTGCCAAATGAGTTCACAACCATTCCGGAATGGAAGAAGAGGAGGATGAGCTGAAATTGGTCTGTGGTAGTGCCTTGGAACGTAGCCAATGGTAACCCGATTTGACTGAATAAGAACCTGTCTTAGTAAGGGGCTATATTAACCGGTTCGGGAGCTCAGGGTCACCTAGGTGGATTTCCAAGATAGTCGCATACTCCTCTGGTGAAATAATCGGTCTTAAGAACTCAATATCCCATTCACCACTTTCCTGATTAATTAAAGAAGCTACATTTGTGTTACGACTGACCAGCACTGGTGCAGTTAAAGTGGAGTGTCCAACTTGGATGAAAGGCACCCACCGATCACCCCAGACCTGAATGGCCTTCCTACTCATGACTTGCCAGTGAATTGCCCATAATAAAAGATCACGTCCAATAAGTAAACTAGACCACGCCCATGACGTTTGCCCACCCCATTTGGCATCGAAAAAAGAACAATGGGGGAAATAAGAGTTTTCAATACCTCTGCCCACAGTGAATCCAGCTCATGGATGAGCATCGAACATAGTTTTACTATGAAAGCATCATTAAAATCCATAAAGTTCCAAAACCCAAGCCCTCATTTCGCATTCGGCAGCCCCAGAGTAGCTTTAAAGACCCAATGAATGTGTTTCCTCTCCATGTCCTGTCCCCACCAAACATTGGTAATCATAGAGTCCATTTCCTTGCAAATAATATCCAAAAATTTGAAAAGATTCATCGGATAAGCCGGAATTACTTGAACCACCACCTTGATTATAACCTCACGACTTGCCTGTGACAGGGTAGCTTGTTTCCATCGCTGGAGTTTCCCCAAAATCTACTCCTTTACATAGGTCAAACTTTCCGCTTAGACCTTCCTCACATAGCTGGCACGCCAAGATAAGTTCCGGGATCATTTACTATCGGCATACCCAGGATGCAGCCAAGATCTTTCGACAAGGCCCTCGGGACATTAGCTTTGAAAAAAGCACTAGATTATGAAAATTGACCTGTTGTTCGGATGCTGAACAGTGCTGTTGTATTAGCTTCACTAAATTCTGACAATTCTCCACCTCATCTTTTAAAAAGAACAATGTATCATCGACAAAGAAATATGAGAAATAATAGGTCCATGGGGATTAAGTTGAACCCCCGAAATCAATCGCTTATCACACTCTTGCAAAATTAATAAGGAAATGACCTCATTAACAATGAGGAACATATATAGGGATATGGGATCACCTTGTCGGAGACCACGCGAATGAGCGAACTTCCGACCAAGCTGACCATTCATTGAAATAGCAAAATCAATCGACGAAAGACAACCAAATATCAACTGGCACCATCGCTGATTGAACCCCATCCTATCTATGACTGATAATAGAAAATCTCATTCAACTCTGTCATAAGCCTTATGCATATCCAATTTAACCCCAAGTTCAAATTTACCTTTTGTTCTTTGTATCTTCAGATAATGGAAGATCTCGTGTGCAATGCCAATGTTATCTTGAATCTACCTTTCAGTAACAAAAGCATTCTGTGAACGAGATATCAACTCCGGCAGCAACGGTCGAAGACGATTGGCCAGGACCTTGGATAAAATTTTATAAGAGTAGTTACATAGGCTTATGGGTCGGAACTAGGCAATAGACTCTAGATTTGGAACTTTAGGAATGAGCACAACATGTGTGGAATTGATGCGGTGTAGAGAGGGAGACCCATGCATAAAACCTTGAACTAAACCATTAACATCAGCCATAAGATTATCCTAAAAAGACTGGTAGAAAACACCTTAGAAACCATCGGGGCCTGGGGCTTTTAATTTGCCCATTTGAAAAACAGTGTCCTTATTCTCCTCTGGAGAAACCGGCACAATGAGTGAGGCATTCATATCCTTCGTCACCTTTGGCTGAATATAATCAAGAGTGGTTCCTCACTTTTGATCCTCATCCGACGTAAATAGATATTATGGATTTTGACACCAAACTAAGTATGATTTACCAGTTCGTCAAATTAAACTTTCATTGTAATACACACTATGATAATCCATTATCATCCATGATTTCTGCACTCCAAAAT